GGGGGAGAGAGAGAGATGGTGCTGACCCAAATAGGGTGTCCCACAAAATAATCATCTCTTCTGTCGGTGGAGGAAGGCTGGGAGTAAAATAGGTTCAGTTACAGTTCAGGTCAAGACATCTCTTTTTGGAGGTTGACAGCACATGTGAATAATCCAATCTGCACATTCAAGTACATACCGAGATGGCTTGATGTGGAGGGCAGCTTGTCATCCTATTCATTCGACCTATTCTACAAAACGAAAAAGTGTGACCTAAAGCTGAATTGAATCAGATCAAATGTGAAAGGGTTACAAAAAGAAACCCAAAAGCTGTAATAGGAAAACTTCTATTAGTGACTCTGACATTGACTCCCGCGTGCGTCTCCCGGGTGGCGTGGGCCTCAGTTTCCAAATCGTAAAAATGGGGACAAGACTATTTCGCAGATTGTTGTGAAGACTGAAATAATAGGAATGTTTCATAGGCGTGAGATAGTTAATCAACGTTTATTTTTAATTTTAATAAGGAAAAGGAAAGAGTAAGTGTTGGGTGCTAAGTCTCAGAGCGTTAAGGCTCCCTGATGTCCACAGCCAAGTGTCACGCCCGTTGCCCGGGGACAGGCTGTGCCTAAGGGCCGGCTGGCATCCCGTGCTCAGTTTCTTCTCTCTTCCCCCCCGCAGCCAGTGCCTCCCTGAAGAAGCGGTTCAAGCGGCGGGAGATCGAAGCGATCCAGTGCGAGGTGCGGAAGATGTGCAGCTACACCAAGATCCTGTCCACCAAGAAGAACCTGGACCACGTGAACAAGATCCTGAAGGCCAAGCGGCTGCAGAGACAATCGAAGACGGGCAACAACTTCGTCAAGAAGAGGCGGGGGCGTCCCCGAAAGCAGCCCAGCCAGTTCGAGGAGGACCCCAGAGACCAGATGCCGGTGCTGGAAAAATGCATCGACCTGCCCAGCAAGAGGGGCCAGAAGCCCAGCCTGAGCCCGCTGGCGCTGGAGCCCGCCGCGGCCGCCGCGGGCCAGGACGCGGTCATGGCCACCATCGAGGC